AATCTCTGGACTGCTGCTTTGACTTCCAGAAAGCCCGAGTGCTTACAAATCCTGCTGCACTATCAGAGTGGGGTAACACTAACAACAGCACAGCAGGCTTCATGTGTACTCCAGATGAACTCCCTGGTGTGCCTGACAATACTCGTGACTCTTACCTTTCTGAACCTTGTCACAGAGCAGGTAAATTTCTTCCCCTCCCGTCACGCACCCTGCTGTTCTGTCCATTCTTACAATTTTTAGGTTGGAGGCATTGGGAGCTTCTATTGAAAGGGAAGATGAAAAAAAATCTTACTTACTTTTTGTAACAGATTTAGGACTTAAACCAAATCAAGAACAACACACAGAAATGCAATAGAAAGACAAGCTTCCAATACAACCTACCTGAATTTGTCTGTGTTTTTTAAAACAAGCAAATCAAGGACTTTTCATATGAAAGACAATCATATCTTCTAAGCACTGACTGAACTACAAAAGAAGGTCCCAGCCATTGCAGCATAATTACTGCACTAGCAAGGTAACCCAGCAGCAAACTGCATCCAGCACCCTGTACTAGTACTCATTTTATGACAACAGGGCCATACAAAAGAATGTAATTTTTTCCTCCCTGGTTTCTGACAGAGTGACACTCTTGAGAGCTGTTTCCTATTTGTCTCTATCTTCAGTGCTTTGCTTTACAATGTGGCTTACTTGAAAGCATTACTTGAAAGACAGGTTTTGGCCAGTGTACTGGACAGTGATAAAAAAGCCCACCTCCACAGATCCTAGTAGAGACATCAATAGACAACTATTGGTCCTCAAGACAGAACTCTCATCTGGGAAGTGAAAGCAGCTGTGACAGGTAAGTTATGCCACCCCAAGTTATGTCTGTCCTGCGAAGGCTTGAATGGTGCCAATGAAGTATTCAAGAAATCCCCAAACAAAACCCAAGAAAAATCTTCCAAAATTAGCAATCAAGAATTCACTTTGGGAGATCAGAAACTAGTAACTGACAGAAACATGCATACAAAATGTCCCCTTTGTTTGTCTCTTTAGTTTAGGACAAAATTTTTGACCTCATTATATTTGCCAGCTAACAGCAAGGCACAGACTATAGTAGAACAGTTGCATTTAATACCTTTTGATCTAGACTTTGTCCTTAAAAAGCAATAATATAGACATGACTGGTGCACAAATGGAAAAAAAAAGGTACTTTTTCTGAGTCATTACAGAATGACTATCAAGAGCATGGGAATCCACAGCCTTGGGAAGGAAAACTCAGGCAGCAGAAAGGGTTCAAATAAGATGAGTCAGTATAATTTAAAAGTACAGGGGAAAACACAAAGTGAAAAAATTCTCTTAGAAAAAAGACACAGGAATGCTCTAAAAAATACTGACAGATCTAAAGGAAATGGATGGAGAACTCTGGTTGCGTTATCTTTTAAAATATGGATAAGCGGATGGTCTGCAAAACTGAAAGGTGTCAAATTCTCAACAAAGATAGAGGCAAAGTAAGTTTTTTCCTCACATCTCGTGTAGGTCACGTGTAGGTTTCTGCTTTGTCACAGAAAGCAACTGAAAACTGTAAAATTCAAACCCTTCCTATGGATATAACAAGATCTTACAAAATCCTTATAATAAAAGTGGCAGGATAAAACATGCTGACAGCAAAATAAAATCTTCCTCTATGGCTTACATCCACCATCTATTTAAACCAGAATGATACTGTATGTACTTGGACAGACATGGGGCTAATCATCCATGGGCTACTTATTTGCTATTCATCAAATACCAGGCAGGCAGGACTAGGTAAGTCTGTAACTACCTGTCATTTCTGTGTGTACAATAGCCTGTCCCTTATTAAAAAAGTAATTAAAGCCAAATATACTTACTGCTGTCATATATCGCATCTGATATAACGGGATCGAGTTTCCGTGTGAAGCTGCCGTTGCTGTCGGGAAGAAAGGCTGTGAACATGAGCCTCACCACGCTGAGATCCATTTCCTTGGTCTGCTGTATGGCTGCCTGGCGGATGATTTCTCTCTCCCGTTCTGGAATTGACAGACAGTGGAATTAACACAAAGGGTAGGGCATCCTTAACAAAACAGAGAGAACAAACAAACATCCAAAGGCCTGGATAGTGAGGAAATGTCTTCTGTTACATTTAGCATCCACTGGGTTTTCCCTTTCTAAGTGGAAAGCTGCTGTTCCCTTTCAAAGTGGAGCAGCTGTTCAAATTATACTGCGTTCATCTTGCAGTTTGTGCACCAGCTCTTATTTAAGTTATATAATTTAAAGACAGACAGAAAATTATTATTTTCTGCTCTCAATTTATAAAGGTTG